TTTTCTCGCTGCTGTCTGCGAGAATAATATTCACATATTCATGTTATATGATGATGAATGCCTGATGTTATTTTTCTTTCTGCCGAAAATTTTTTTCATTGATAACGTTGAAAAAATTGCACGATCACTTTGTGATAATCTGACTGCATTTATCATCTATTAAATACATTTTTAACAATTAGTGCCATATTTAGATAAAGTCACAAAATTAAACATTCATAATATTTGAAAAAATATATCAAACTTGTTTTTTTATCAAGCCCAATGGTAATGATACAGTTTGCTTAAATATTTTAAACATTATAATTTAAAATCAGCCTGCATGAATTGTATTCATCTAAACATTCGATATATGCGCTATTGTTTCTTTTGTTTCTGTATCTTCCATAGTTGTTTTTTAAGTTGATAGTCAAAATATTTGAAACGACGCCCTTATATTCTTTTTATCCAAATCATTGATTTCATCGAAATGTTACATAAAAATTTGATGAAAAGACAATCGTTACTAACTCACGCTTAACAAAGAATTTATAACTCTTTTCAACAATCTATAATTATTTAATACGACAATAACTCATTTTTTTTTCTTTGTGAATCAAATCTGATGTTCTCAATAAATTAGATCAAGATCATGGTAGTGTTCAAAATCGTAAAACAACTTCCGCATCAAACGTAAACGATACACCACAATTAGTTTTAATTCTTATGATGTATCTTTATCTGAATCTAACCAAAGCAGATCATAAAATAATTCTGTATGAGATACATCAATTGATCTTGCAATATGTTTTATTTATTCAAGTAAATGTAAATCTAGATAAAGACCATTATGAGAAGGAAAAAATTTTTTCATGATTCATTTTTGTAATTGATAAACAATTAAAACAATCAGTAGATGTTTTCCATAAATCAACGTTGTAATGTCATTGAACTACATTATAAAAATTATGTATATGAGTAATTTCTATTTAAAATGTGTGAAAGTAAAATAAAATGAAGTGAATCCTTATCAGAGGTGGGATCGGTTGGCATTTTTGCCAAACCGAACCGACCGTAACCGAAAAAATCTCTAACCGAACCGAACGTAACCGACCGAATTTTTTAAAATTTCTAACCGAACCGACCGTAACCGAAAAAAATCTCTAACCGAACCGAATGTAACCGACCGAATATTTAAAAATTTCTAACCGAACCGAGCGTAACCGACCGAATTTCAAAAATTTCGTAATCGAACCAAGTTTAGAGAAAGCGAAGTCTAGCTTATTTTAGTTAGGGTATTAGTGCTTTATAAATTAGCAACAACAAATCAAATAATAGCAACTAAAAATAATGAACACTTAGAGAAAGCAAAGAATAAAGATTATTTATTGGATCTTCTTACTGTATTATAACTTCCTTACCTCTCAGGGCAAATTTTAAAAATATGTGAGATAATTCGCGTTGCGAGCAACAGCTAGTTGTTGTACGATTATATTCTTTTTTC